CTTGTGTTCCTAACCACTGCACAGCAGTGCCTCGCTGTACGGTAAATGACCATGCCCTGCTACTAATGAAGGAACTACAGTACCTCGATCAAGGGCACACTATTAGGAAAGAATAAAGAACATGATGGGAACTCAGCGTATCTGCACCCAAACCCTGCACCTGCTTTTGCTAGTTCGCCATTGGCCTGGCTGTTCCAGATGGCTCTATTTCTATATATGCTTCAGTCATTTGTACACAGGTTTACACTTTGTTAGAGATTATAGAGTAGCAATAAGGGGGAAATGTGAGCTATGCACGGTTGAACCCAAAAGTAAACCAGCAAGTCCTTCCCACTGCATCAGTTGAGAAGAGTTTCCCCCAATGTGGGGTTAGAGCCTGGCATAAACATTAATAATTTGGATGCTTTAAAAAATTTACAAAATATATTTTATTCTTTACACTGTTCTATATTTCCTACAATGAGCGGGTGTTTTTAAAAGTAAACGTTCCCAGGTACTATAGTTCACCGGTACTATAAGAAATACATGTTTTATGTTAAAATATTCAGCTACAAAAAGATCTTGCCTTATAAGGACTCAGTATCACAGGAACATTTGTGGAGCATGTAAATGGCCAGGTAGTGATTTCTACATCTACTTGTGAATGGGCTATTACTTGTAAAGCATCTTTACAGAAGCAAACAGCTGGTGGCTTGTGAGAGTGTAGGATGGGGGGAGTCCTGGCAGAGCAATGCTTTCAGGCAGGACCTTGCCTTCTCCTTATATAAGCTGATCTTCTTCCCACAGGTGGACCTGAAGTGGAACTATGGGCTCCTCTAGTCCTGCACTGTCCTATACAGTGGCCACTGCCTACATGTGGCCCGTGAGCAGTTGAAATGCCCTAATTCAAATTGTGATATGTTGTTAAGCATAAAATACCACAGATTTTAAGGTTTAGTATAAAAAATAAAATATCTCGTGTATAATTTTTATATTGCTAAAAAGGAAAAATCCTAAGCCATGGCTGGCAAGTTAATTCCAACGAATGCCAACCCTGTGGGCTAGAACAGAACTTCTCCATAGGCTCCAAGGCTGCCCTTATGCAGGCAGACTGCACCCTCTTTCTCCTACAGAGCAGCCGGTGAGTTTGAACCACCAACCAATCAGTCCATAATTCAGCACTTCAACACTGTGCCAACAGGGGCCAAATGAAATATATAATTTACTCAATTTCTCTTAGGCTTTCTAAAGTATAGGTACTAGAAAGTGTGACTCATATGTTTCTATTAAATATATATGCATTCATAAACACTTAAGTGTTTATAGAGAAATGCATTTACATAAATTGTATTACTTTTATATTTGGATTACAACTTTTTCTAAAATGAAGTTGTATTAAGGCTTTACTCTCTCTTTTGTGTGTGTATGTTGTGTATGTGTGTGTGGGGGGTGGAGGTGCGCCGCACAGATGAACCTACGACAAATTACATTCCACTGTAATGTTATAAAACTGGTGTCCTTTCAGATGCTATTTTTCTCATGGATACAATAGCTGATGGTTTCATATTTAGAAATGAAAAACTATTACTATTTCTACTTACTGATAAAACACACTGCCTTCTGTTATAGCGTCTGGTAGTCTCTTGATCAAGCCTGAGGATGTCTCCCAAAGAGAGGTAAACCAGGAAGTTAATTTCTGCCTACAAGCATTGCTCTGCTAGGATTCATCCTATACTCTCACAAGCCACCACGTTTGGTCCTGTAAAGGTACTTTGTAATAGCCCATTCACGAGTGGATGTTGACATCACAATGTGGCCATTTAGATGCTCCACAGTGCTTCTGTGTGAGACTGAGTCCTTATAACTTGCAACCTGTGCCAGAACTCAAGAGAGGGCCACACTGCCCCTCGTTGGAGTGCTATCCTAGCTTTAGATTCTAGGGATTCCAGCTGGTGAACTTGGGGGCAATCGCTCCACTGAGCACAGGGCCCACTCAGGCTCCACTGCGGTTTGGGAACTGGTTGGGAGTGCTGCGAACCCAAACTCAGGGCTTCTGCAAACCAACAGCAAGTGCCCAGAACCGCAACCGAAGTCCCGCTGTGGAGGGAACTTGAGACAAAGCCTCCCCAGCGCCACGCCTCCTGTTCCTCCCGGATACGCCAATGGTCTGCAGTCATAGCCCTATTCACGCAGGGAGAAGTTTCTCTCTCCCTCTCTCTTTTATACATATTGACAATCTACAAAGCCCCAGAACGAGGGAGGCACTAATCATTCTTCCCCACACAAATACTGAAATGAGCACATCTAATATTTATATTACATCGATCCAGGGACAGACTTAAGAAAGTGCCAGCCCAAGTGATTTTGCCACTAAGGCGTCCTAGACAAAAGACATACCGGAAGCACGTGCAGAGACAAAAATGGCTACGACTATGTTAAATAAGTAGAGCAAAACGTTTCTACTCTTAATATATCACCTCTTTCAGATTTTTTTGCAATAGGCATATTCATCACTTTATATCTGTGATCGCTCATTGCTAGCCACTGGTTAAATTTGATCAGCATTGGCTATAAAATGGCCATCAAGTTGATTTTGGCTCATAGCGGTCTTATAGGACAGAGGAGAATGACTCCTTTGTGTTTCTGAGGCTATAATGTTTCATGGGAGCAAACATATCTTTTATTCCTCAGGGTGGCTGGTGGTTTTGAACTGTTGAACTTTCTGTTAACCACACATATTCAGAATAAGAGAACCTGAATCCTGGTTGTGGTTGTTGTTAGGTGCCATCGAGCTGGTTCCAACCCACAGCCACCCCATGCACACCCGAACAAAACACTGCCCAAACCTGCCCGAGTTCACTGTTGCAACCACTGTGTTAACCCACCTCATTGAGGGCTTTCCTCTTGGTCCCAGCCCCTCCACTTTACAAAGCATGACTTCTCCAGGGATGGGTCTCTCCTGACAATACATGGATGTCAGATGAAGTCTTGCCATCCTCGCTTCTAAGGAGCAGCCTGGCAGGTGGGATAAGTAAGCACTGATACGGGTGACCTGTGCAATCACACCTTGGCTAAGTTTGGAGTAGTTGAAGGACTATTGCAAGATTTTATAACGTACCTATAGATCATGTTAGGCAACTAACCACAGGTCAACAGTTTGAAACCACCATTTGCTCTCAGGAAGAGAGGTGAGACTTTCTACTCCCATCGAGTTATAGTCTCAGAAACCCAGAGTGGCAGTTCTACTCCATCCTAGAGGGTCACTAAGAGTCAGCATCGACTCAATGGCAGGGAGTTTGTTTTGGGGGTTCAGAAGTAAACATCTGACCAGTGCAAGGGATGATGCAGAAGCAATGCTTATAAAGATGCTCCCCAATCTCGCACTCAAGAAATGGCCAAATCTTTATAAACATTTTTCACAGACTGAGAACATATACACCTGCCTCGCAAGCCTGTGCTGGTATGGAGGGGCATTTAATGTGCTCTAGCAGGAAAGGCTTTAGCACATGCAAAACATTACCGGCTCGTTTTTTGGCCTCAGTGTCGTGCCTCCTTGATTGCAGAAGAGAGAAAAAGAACATTAGGCATGAACAGAGGTGCTGTGATAAAATCCTTATTATTTCCATTCCTGGGAACACTGCTTGGTGTTTGGTTCCACTTGTGCCCAGTGGTAAAGGCTGGAGTCTCCCTTTGCCCATTCACCACTGCCCCAAGGCAATCTTCCCAGTGGGTAAAACTGTCCGGCTGGTCCTCCTCCCAGTCTCACAAGCCAAGTTTGTCCTGATCAGGTCCCACAGGGACTGCTTTATGTTCCATATTGCTAGACCATTTGAAAAAGGTATCCGGTCCTTTCCTCCTATTTCATATAATCTGTTTTCTTTATTCAAGGGAGACTAGAGAGAAAGCAACACAGAAACAACAACTACAGAAATGCAGAGATTTTCATTTTTTTTCTGAAGTGCGATGTATCACTGTTATTAAGACAGCTGGTTGAAAACAAAGAGTCCCTCTGAACTAGCATTGACTTCATCTAAGTATATACCATCTGCTCTTGCAGCCCGATCCCGTACCCCAGGTATTGGCAGCTACAGGTGAGTAGGGCCCCCTCCCTCCCCACACTCCTGCCCCAGCAGCTGCCAGAGAACTCAGTATCAGCAGGCAGGAAGTGGGGTGGGGGGTGAGGGTGTCTCCACCCATTAGCAGCTGCTTAAATAGTAGGCAGGGGAGCTTTTCTACAGAAAAATCCAGGTCAGCAGATACTCCAAACCAATTTCTACCACATGCTACCCAGTTGTGGAATTAAATTAAAATGCTAAGAAAGAACCTGGAATGCCAATCTCATTTCCCCCTCTATCCCTTAGGCTTGGCCCTCGGAAGGAAAACACAACAGCAGTTGGACTTGGCAATTTGAAGGGAATTATTAAGCAGCTGGAAGGAAGGGAAGGCAGCATACACCAAGGGAAGCTGTCTTCACGGAGCATCATGTGCCAATGATTACATGCCAGGACCCTCACTGCCCAAGGAGGTGATACCTACCCAGGTTTAGTAACTTGCTCACTCACACGGAGCTGAAAGACAAGCTGGGCAGACCATCGGAATCTCCGGAGGAGGGAGATGTTGATGGGTGGAGTGCAGAAAGGAGTGAGGTCATTTTTAAATCGACTTTATAATTTTTTAAAAAAAGTACACTATCAGCAACTTTGCCATAGTCTGTTCTAGTTGAATGTAAAATTAAAATTGTGCCAAAATCCGAGAAAACACTTCCAAAGAAGTCATTATAAGTTACATTAAAACTCAAAAATGAAAATATGTACATGCGCTTATCCATCAGACCTTTACTGCACTTTGGTTAACTATTTCCTTGTGGGAGAAATTTGGCTTTTTCATCCATATATCCTGTTTCCTCAACAATAATCTACTATGGATTTAACTTTTAGATAAAAAGTGGGTTCATCATTTTATATATGCACTTAAAAGTGCTTTCATGTTCCCTCAACAGTAGGAAAACACCAAATAGTTACCTCTGCAAATGAGTTCCGATTGGCTTGCAAGCCAACTTTGACTACCTCAAAAGGGTTGACCACGATGGCTTCTGTTAGTCCAGATCCCAGTCCGGCGATGGCAAATGTCTAGAAAAATTAAACCAATCAGTACTTTAAATCACGTTATCATGTGTAATGAAATGAATCAATACTTTAAATCACATTATCCTATTTATGACATTATGCAGCTGACCATGATGGCAAGGATGGGGAAGCCTCTACACATGCACCCTCTACCATTCCTGCCCAGACAGCTCTCCTCGACCAGCTGCTGGCCAGTCCAGAAGAGGAGATCGCAGAAGTCACCACCATAGCCTACCAGTGCAAAATAAAATGCCACGGCCCCATCAACAATGGCTTTTAACCTTAACCAAAAGGAAGCCTGCTTTCCCGATTTAACGTGGCTGCAGCAGCATTTGCTCAGATAACAGTTAAAAGAGAGTTTGATATAAATAAGAGCTCCATTATGAAGCACCTACATAAATACATTTATTGGGCATAGACATAAACTCAAGAAGCAGAATCACAAATAAACTGTTAAGAATGACAATATAAAAGATTCTTATTTTCTATCTACTAAGGATGTCTTCAGTAGGAAAGGACAGCTTTCTAGAATTTTCCTTTAAGGACAACGCTAACAAGTTTTTCCAGAAAAATCAAAACCAACCACCACCATAATAATAATCTAAAGCCCCACAAAAACACAGAAACAAAACAAAGCCTTAAACCTCCAAAACAGAGGCTAGGAAAAGAATTCTTCCGTACAACAGTTCTAATTCCAGCAGGAGAGAGAGTGCTGTATATAACATGAAAAAGAAAAACGTCCATGAAGAGGTCAATGGCGATTACTTGACATGAACTAAGGCTCATGTTGTGAGGTGGCAGCGAGCAGGTTCGGACCATAGCAACCCTTTGCACAACGGAACCGAACTCGGCCCGGCCCTGCACCGCCCCCACAATGGCACCTATGCCTGACTCCACTGCTGCGGCCACTGTGTCCGTGCATCTCCTTGAGGGCTTTCCTCTTTCCACTGTCCTTCTCCAGGGACTGGTCTCTCCTGACATGCCCAAAGTATGTGAGATGAAGTTGCATTACCAAAGCCAAGCTCAGCGTTGATTCAAACTGACAGCATCCCTATACAACAGGGTAAAACTGCCCTTTTGGCTTTCAGAGACAGCGGGATATATCTTTGCGGGAGTACGAAGCCTCACTTATCACCTCAGGAGCAGCTGGGGACTTCCAACTGCTGACCTTGCAGTCAGCAGCCCACTGAGTAGTCCACTATACCAACAGGGCTCTTGTATAACTCTTAGTAAGGGGCTCTTAAAAACAAACAACACCTAAGCACCACCGAACTTACTTCCACGGGGCCGACTGCAACTCTGAGGGACCCTAAAGGATAGGGAAACCGCCTCTGTGGGTTTCCCAGACTGTAACCTTTCTGGGAGAAGAAAGCCTCGTCTTTCTCCTGTGGAGGAGCAGGTGGTTTTGAACCGTTGACCTATGGTTAGCAACCCAAAGCATAATCAGTCCCCAGCTGGCTCCCTTAAAATAGGAGAGTGAATGAAGGGAGAAAAGAAAATTCCAAAGCTTTCTGAGAGGCAGGGATGAATGCAGGCAGGCGCCAGGACCAGAAGTATGGGTTTAAGTCCTGGTTCTGTCACGTCATGGCTGTGTGACCAGGGCTGCCATGTACAGTATTAGTTGTGCTGAGCCATGGGGGTGCCTGGAAGCTGAAATCCAGTCTGCCCTGTGCTTGCCAAGCGTGAATCCTGGAGAGAGAACAGCTGGTAGTAGGGGTGACCCTCTGAATCGGACACAAAGGCAGCATACGTACTAGCACTAGCTGCGGCTCCATGTAGAACCCAACTGCCCTTTTAAAGCCATCGTTTTCTCATCTGTAAAATGGGAGTAATTACATGCAATTCCTCCATCTCACACGAGTGTTATCAGGCAGGAGGAGGAGAACCGTGAAGTCCTTTTGTGAGTGCTATAGAAACACCATAGGTCTCGTTGCCCATAAACACCGAGAGGAGGAGTGAGTGGGATTGCATGCGGATTCTGGGAGAGAGGGAAGAACGAATGACATTTTCCCGTTATCCCCTTTCGTTACAATTTTAAACACATTTGTATAGGGTAACCGACCAAATATTTTATTCATTTATCTCAAACTTTCATCTTAGAAGCCAAAAGTGGAGGGGGATAAATACTAGTCCCAAGCTCTTTTGACTGGGAGAGCTGAAATCCAGATGTTCGGGATTTTATTACTTACTAAATGAAATCTTCCAAGTAATTCACTTTTTTGTTCTTCTATAAAACACAGCGACATTTGCTGTCAGAACTAGTGTTCAGCAGTCCCTTGTTAAAAGAGTTGCTCAGATATCAGCAGACAGGGTTACTTGGGCTGTTCCAGGGACGGCAGTGGCTTTCATGGGAGAGCACCAAGGGACACTGAACCGCTGTTTAAGGGTCCAGCTGTATCCAAAAGAAAGGAGAAATAAGCGCACGGAAAGAGAAAGGCTCTATACCGTCTGCAGGCATTGGGTTATAGTAGCTGGAGTGCTTTTCCGCTTCAATTCTCAAAAGAACGGGGAGAACTGCCGCTTCCTGCATGGCACCAAAGCCTGCGGCCACTCTTGCTAGGACGTTTTTAGTCCTGTTTCACTCAGATGTTTCCAAAGATAAGAATGACAGTCAGGGAACACAAGGGACAATGTAAACCACCATCACCACCACCACCTTAGCTGTCTAGGTCTCGTGTTACCACTTCTTTTTCCGATAGCTTGTCTCTCGTAGGCACCCTGGTTACGGCCAACCCCAAACCAAACGCGTTGCCATCAAGTCGATTCTGACTCTAATGGGCAGAATCGAGTTGCCCTTGTGAGTGTCTGAGGCTGTACATCTTCACAGGAGCCGAAAGCCTCGTCTTTCTCCTGGGGAGTGGTTGGTGGTTTCAAACTGCTGCATGGGGGCTAGTAGCTCAACTCGGAACCCACTATGGCACCAGGTGCTCCACTTGGTTTTGGCAGAGGCTTTTTAGTCATAATGGAAAGTGATATAATCAGGATCCTTCTAAGAAAGGGACTATATCTGCCTTATATTAAATCTTAGAATGAAAGATTTTTTTTTTGGACAGTCAATTTAGCAGAATAAATATTCTGAACCTTTACAGGCACAGTGATTAAGGAGTTGAAACTCAGAACACTGCCTCTCTGGTTGAGCTTGGGGGCAAGTCAACAGGCAAACTGGGATTTTCCTAGAAGTTGGAAGATAAGACACGTCGTCAGCTGAGGGCCAATGCTGATCATGTTTTGTTTTGCAGATTTGGAGAGAGAATTTGCTTCCTCAGGGGCTTTGGCCACACACTTATGAGGGGGCTTCAGAAAGTTGGTGGAAACACTCCATTATCTTTTAGTGGTAGACCACTGATCAAAGTAAGTTACCTGCTCTGTGAACAGTGACAAAGACACCCGCAGTAAGAGGGTGAAGTAAGGGATGCTCTGATCACCAAACGATTTTCCTTTAAGTAACAGTGAAGATGTGTCTTTGTAGTACCCAGTAAATCATTACATTAAGCAACGGTTTAAAAAGAAGATGCTTATTTTTCCTGGCTAAGTTGTTTACAGACATTCCTATAAAAAGTCCTTCAGTTTGCATCTAACCAAAAAGTGATTTTTATTCTGAGGAACCAGATGTCCAAGAGTCTTATTTTTATTATAGGTCCAGCAAAAGCTGGAAAAATGATCTGTTAGGAAATAATCTTAGATGTATTGACTTCTGCATAAATAGATATGTATTATATGTATATAAACATGTGCATGTTTTGGCTTTAAAAGACTCTTTGATAAGTGTACTATTTATTTTATACGATTGACCGTATCTCATCTGGGCCTTTCCACCCATATCATTATTATCATAAATTCATCACTAGGAGTTATAAAATAGCTAAATTGTGAGTTATTAGGAAGATAGCTTTCAACAAGTAGCTGAGCATTGAATAACTTGAATTCACATTTTAGTAGCAGGGCTTGGGGAATCAAAAGGGTTTTTGTTTCCAGATTTTGCTATATGAAATAACACATACACTTAAGCATAATAAATACTCTCACTTACCAAAGCTGGCGACAGTGGCATGTAACCCAGCAATTTCTTGTACTGCTCAAAGGTGAAAAACTGTGAAACAAAACCAAACCCAGAGAGTTATAACAATTTCCTGCTACAAACCATTTAATTGACTCAAATTTCTTTAGTAAACCATTATATTAGCCAGCATTAAAAAAAAAAAGATAAAGTATCTAACACAGTTTTAACCCGGTCTCAGGCAGTTGCTATTGGGTCATACTTTAACAGTCACATTTTCAAATGAGCTATAATATCCTACAGAAGAGCTGATGGAATCCTTTATAGCAGTAAATGAACCATAGAGCTTCCATTTACCATGACCATTTTCAGTTTCCCCAGACATCTATAGACTCCTTTTTTATGGCAGTGATTCAAAATTATAGGCGTGGAGACCGAAATCTTTGGTCTCCAATGTTTTTTTCTGAGAACTGCTTTCCAAGTGAATGCTCAATTTTCTGACCCACTTGTAAAGACATCCACTCTTTTGCCCTAACTTGCATTTATGTTGCGGTGTCTCCCCTCCATTCCACGGACTTCAAAACCACTGAACGGTGATGAAGACGCCATGATAAATCTGGGAGGACTTAAAGAGGCCATCTAGTCTTTCTCTGGCCCTAAAGTAAAGCTGTCTTCCACTTAAATCAGTGGTCCTCAACGTGTGGGTCATGACCCCTTTGGGGGCCGAACGACCCTTTCACAGGGGTCGCCCGATTAATAACAATAGCAACATTACAGTGATGAAGTAGCAACGAAAATAATTTTATGGTTGGGGGTCACCACAGCATGAAGAATTGTATTAAAGGGTTGCAGCATGAGGAAGGTTGAGAACCACTGACTTAAATGAAGACAGAGTGATGCTTCTTCCCCTTTAAAATCTGAAACCATGATGAGTTTGTTAATTCCTTCAGGCAGACCAAAAACCAAACCCTCTGCCATTGAATTGATTCTAACCCAAAATGGCCTTAATATTGGGCTTCCGAGGCTATAAATCTTTATAGGAGCATTTAGTCTCATCTTTCTCCTGAGGAGTGGCTGGTAGGTTTGAACTGCCAACGCTGCAGTTAACAGCACAGCTTTACTTAACAGCACCACTGGTGTTCCTTCAGCAGCTGATGTTTAATATCATTTTCTCTGAGAACTAGTTTCTATGGAGGTAATTCTAATAAATTATTTCATCCGATATGGCTAAAATTATTCTCCCCTATTTTTCTATAGTTCATATTTTGGAACGCTGCTTAACCATGATGCTTTGCTCCTGGGTCAGGTATCTGCCAACATCACTGATAAGTCCATTCAGATGTCCCACTAAGGTCTAGTTCTAGATTGCTTAGAAGTGACATAAACATTGAATGGTACGAACTGTTTCCTACTCCACTATCTTATCTGGGGAGAAAGGCCTGGTGTTGTGCTTCTGAAAGATCTTGGCCATGAAACCCCAAGGAACAGGTATATTCTGCACACGTTACCTTACAGCAAAATGGAAGCAGGAGGAAAAAATACAGATGTGGGGGCACATAATCCCCTGTTGTTAGAAGGAGAGGGCCCTGGTGGCAGAGCAGGTAAGCGCTTGCCTGCTAGCCAAAAGGTTGGTGGTTTGAACCTACCAGGTGCTCGTTGGAGAGGTGTGGTGCTCTTGCCTTCTGAAAAGAGTAACTGGGAATCTGGTTTCCATAGCCTTGGAAACCCTATAAAGCAAGTGAACCCCTGGCCTGTATGGGTGCTTTAGGACAGAATCCACTTGATGGTAATGGGGGTGGTTGGTTAGAAAGAAGGGGTTTCCTGAAGATATGGCTGTAATCAGTCTTTGGGCAGTTCAAAGGTCATGATCCCACGAGACCGAATTTAGAAACCCAGAAAGGTTTTTGTACCACGGTCCTCTAAGTCAAGAATGGATGTAGACTTCTGAAGAAAGGGAATTCATTCATTTCCTCATTCAACAAATACTTCAGATAGGGTAGCACCTATGCTCCAGGCACTGGAGAGGTAAACACAAAACAAACAGAAACCTCTACTTTCAAGCAAGAATCAGCTATTAAAAAAATAATGATGCTGTCACTATCCTGGTGTTAAAACCAGGGCCCACCACTGTTGTGATGAGATATGTACTAGCACCACTAACCACAGAAGGAGAAGTGTTATTGCCTTAGGTCTTAAAGATAATGTATCTTCCTTCCATCCGTATGATCATAACCACCACTGTTCTTTGACTATCCCATTGTTGAGATTTTGAACTGAGAAGTCCTGGGTCTGAATCCTAGTTATAGGTCCTGAGGTGTGAAGACATAGAAAAATGGACTAATCTTCCTAATTTCCCCAAACTTAAGACTTGCCTTTTATTTATATTTTTAGAGTTGCTAAATAAAATAATTTAAGTAATATTCCTTGGCTTTCCTGTCCCATAAAAGACTCTCATTTTGAAAGTTACCAAGGGAACCTCAGATGCCTGGGTTATATCACCTGTGAGAACCCACTGCAGTCTGAAAAACGAGCTAAGGTTATGTATTTAACCAATACAACAGCAACATCAGGTAAGAGGTGAAATCAACTGTAATTCCCATTGTATAGATGTAGCTCCTGAAGCTAGCGAGTGGGAGGATTAGGAGTTCTTTTTACCTCTATTGTGTATATTCTTAGCCACTGTTCTTACTACACGTCTCTGCCCCACATGTCTGGAACATGGTTCTTGGCAGTTCGGCAGTTGTGTAACGAGGTAATGCTGCATTGGCCTTCACAACTCACCTCTCTCCTGAGCTTAGTCAGTATCATCCAAGGAACAAACCAAAGCTCTTTACCATCGAGTGGATTTGACACCTCGTGACACTCTACAGGAGGATTCTGAAGTTCTAAGTCTTGATGGAGCAGACGACCTCATTTCCCCGCAGGAGATTGCCTTGAACCTCCGACCTAATGGCTCGCAGTCCAATGCTTACTTATCAGTACCACCAGAGCAGAGTGCATGAGAACCCGAACAAGGAAAACGGTGTTTCTGGAGTTTTAAAGGTCAAGATTTGACTTTAAATCTGGGGACAAAGGGACTGCTATGTCTGAGGTTCAGCTGGACTCTCTCTGAGATCTCCCTTCTGTTTTGCTGACTATGATCGTCTGTCTTATTTTGTGGAAGAGATAGTTTCATTTATCTAGCATTGGTGAGTCTTACTCTTTTCATGATGAATCTCAATTCAAAGAATAAAATACAGAAAAGCTTAAAATTGCTTCTGATTATGGTAATGATTGTAAGTAAAATGTGAGTACCCAGGAAGGAAGATACACACACACACACACACACACACACACACACACACACACACACACAGTTTCTGGGGAAGAAAAAAAAAGGTTTCCCCCTGAAATAAACTTTGATGACATACAAGGAAGCATTTTATGATGTATGAAATCGTTACAATCAGGTGATCGCTTTCCTCACAAATCCTAAGATAACTATCTATAAAATGAATGTTTTCTTGTTTTGTCACAAAACTAGTGCTATCCATCTGGCAAAGATACACTTAACTCTAAGTTATACTTAAAAAGCCAAAGTACTTACCATATGTCTCAATAATTTTAAGGTAAAATCTACTTGAAACAAGATGTCTGGGATACATACACTATATTCAGTTGCCCAAAAGTTCATCTGTTAACTATTGTTCTGGCATGGACTTCTGCTTTTTTATAAGTAGAGACTAACTCAGTTTTGTAAAGCTCAAAAAAAACTTTTCCCCTGTAAAACACTGCTCAACATTGATAAACCTTAATCCTTTTAAAGTTTAACTTGTCTTCTATATATGGCACTACAGGGAGGAAAAAGTCCAGGAAGAACTTTAATTATAATTTACTTTACTTATACATGTAGAACATTGAACAAATGAATATATTATTTCAGGGAGACAAAGTGACTTTCCTTTTGGACAGGAACTCGGCTCTGTTTGTTTACTTGGGCAATCTTTTATCAAGTGAAGCCATTTCATAATTCAATTCGGCCCCTTTGTGTACTTTGGTGAACTTTTTCCAGATTCTCCACTGCGATTTAGATTGTGATAATGAAATTTGTGCTGAAGTAATAATATAAAAATCACAAAATCTATAGCAACAAAGAGGATGGATTTATATTAAAAAGTATGTTTATAAGCTTTGTGTTTTTTTAAAATTCCAGACCTGAAACAAATCCTATTAATTTAGCATTTTGACATAATGTAAAAATCTGGTGTTTGTGTAGGCATGTTGGTTATTTTATGGTTTTAAAAACAGTGACCATCTTAACTTACTAAATAAAAGCACACAAATGGCCCCTCCTTAGGTTCCAAGAATATTAGGAATACAAATGAAGTAATGTATGTGAAAAGAAAGACCTTTATGTTACTAGTTGAAAAGAAATTCTGTCAGTGTATATTTTTGTTATCAGTATGATGAAAAGACAAAGGCATATTTGGTGATTTCCTCGGTGTGGGGGACATTCATTGTCACCAGGACTTCTGCCTCAGTGGAGAAGTGTATACATACACATTTGTATCTATGTGTATATGTATATATATATTCAAATTCTTTCTTTCCTGGAGGTCCCGCAATATCTCCTTGTTCCTATCCAGACACTGCATCAACAACGAGTGCATAAACCTCCACAGTTATGCAGCTGACCCAAACCCAGACCAAACCAATTGCCTCCATCAAGTTGTTTCTGACTCTTAGAGATCCACTGAGACAGAGTAGAATTGCTCCCTAGGGTTTCAAAGGCTGTAAATCTTTATGGGACCAGATTGCCTCCTCATTCTCCCATGAACTGTCTGGTGGATTTGAACTTATGACCTATCTGTTAGCAGCCCAATGGGTAATCCACTATATCACCAGAGCTCCTTATTATGTGCTCAAAGGAATGGAAATCAGGTAGTAGAAGTAATAATGTTGTAAGAACCAGAATAGAAGATTTTTAACAGAGGAGACTAAGCAATAAGATGAACAGGCGAATATGTATGCTATCTGAGAATTATACACAGAGAAGTAGAGTGTCTTGGATCACTCTGTTCATAAGATATTCAGAACGATATGGAGAGAAAAGTGCTCCTCTATCTACTCCTCTCTACTTTAAAAATAATTAATATTCCACAGGACAATTTCTAAATTGCTTTGCAAAAAGGTACAAGTTATCCTGTGGCATTCTCTCTAATACTGTTTTGTGTATAATTTCCCCATTAGAAAGGGAATGCTTCACCTGAAAAGCAAATAACAACAACAACAAACCCCAACAACCCCACAGTATGTGCTCATTTGAGATAGTGACTAGTTTAGTATAATAAAACATGCTACAATTGCTACATTAAAATGTTTAGTGTCTTATGCTTCCCTCACACAAATTTCCCATATCTTGTTGCGGGGCTGCTGAAGCTATGAGTGCAGTTTAGTTTTCTTGGTAGGAAGTAGACAGTACTTACCTTCACTGCTCTTTTTGGTGTTTCAGCAAGGATAGGGGGCAGAATCCCCTTGTAAAAGCCAAGCAGTCTGTGGTGGAAATAAAAGATTTTTATACAAGTATAAGTAAGAGTAACTCTTGTTATTATCCTGGAATAAATCAACACATCCTAAAGTATTCTCAATTATTCAGTGTAGCACACCAATCATGAAGTCTTCCTTGTTTTAATTCTGAGGTAGAGAGAGATGATGAACTTTACATTTATTTGCATTATAATATTGAGCAGATGAATGAAAGATACTGAGACTGGAGTCCTCTAGGTAAGTTGCTAAATAAAACCATGAGTTATATCTTAAAATTGAAGTTGACCTTCCTGATTGTACGGAATTTTTTTTTTCTCAGTCATATGGTTGGTATCTCTAAACTACTTGTTGTTGCTAGGTCTGATAGGTTGAATCAGTTCCTCACTTACACCCCATGTACAATGGAACAAAATGCTAATACTGGGGACATCAAAGTCAAATGGCAAAACATAGTTCCCACAACCAAGCCATACATTCTACTTCTGTGAGTATGGATTGGGATCTTAAAAGCTTGAGAGCCATCATCTCTGATCCTCTCTGTGTGGAGCAAAGACTAGTGATGGCAATTACAGATGCCTAGAGACAGTCCAAAGGACCATGTGAACCTCTACCCGGAGACCAGGAGAAGTAGCTGGTGCCCATCTGACTGCTCTAAAAAGGATCACAACAGAGGGTCCAAACTAGAGTGGAAAGAAAATGTGGAACAAAACTCCAAATAATCAAAAAGATCAAGTTCACTGGTCGGATGGAGACTGGCGGAACCCTTGGCTACTTTTCTGACCTGGAACTGAACTTACTTTGACGGTTTAACTTTCAGTCAAACACTAAACAGGCCTACAGGAGATATGCACACCTGAGAACAATTGATATCACAAAATCAAAAGGACAGTATTTGCTTTGGGATGAATTTCAGAAGGCAGGAATGGATAGGGAAGAGGGAAGGATGATAATGAAAACATAGGAAGTGGAAAGAGTGCTGTGACACACTGGATACTGCAAACATGGTCACAACACAAGATGTGTGTGAGTTGTTGAATGAAAAAGCAATTGATCTATAATTCTTTACTCAAATCACAACAAGAAGTTAGCGGGGGAAATGGAACAAATTGCTGCTCGATCTTTTGGGGGCCAGATAATTACACTCTATCGGGTTTTCACTAGCTGTAAATCGAACCTGGATCTTCCAAATGGAGGAGAGAAGTCTACTGCTGAAGCATCAATGCCTCCGTCAAAGTCCCTTCAGTTCTGCATTGACTTTCTTGTGGTACCCAAAAGAGGCTAAGGTTATACCTCAACCCACCCGACTACAACTTTCTGAGATTAACATGGCTATGAAATCCTAAATTTTAGTTGTACTAAATCAAAGAAACTAACAAGTTCTGTGGCAAAGGCACTGAGGTTTCAGTATTTTCCTCAATTTGTCACAATTCTTTAACTTCCTTAATGAAAGAGGGAGAAGGTCAGGGAGGGTTTGTTGGAAAAGGTACATATTGCTGAGAGAGGAAGTGTCAAACTCCCTTCCTGACAGGCAATCTCTGAGGGCCCAGAGGAAGCTATTGTCACCGGAGTGGAACACCTGTGGTCACACATTCAGAAGTTTTTAGGAGAAAGCCCAAAAATTAGTGGCACATACAGAAGATAAGATTTACACAAATCTCAAATTATATTTCATATGCATGCCATGTTCTCATTTTTAAACCTGAAAAACATATAAATAGAAGACAAGACTTTGTACTCTTTTCTGAAGCACTCTGTTCTCCCAGTGAGCCACTGGGCAGCCACACGTCAGAGTGGGCCTTAACTGGCCCCGTCTGGGGATACCCAGGTTTCACGGGCTGGAGGCTCTTTGGTGGCTTCCTAAGCTTCATCCCACCGCCCTTAAATTGGGTTCTCTTTTTCGTTGGGCCTGGGGAACAAAATGATGTACAAATGCGCTTTACACAATTGATGTGTGTATGGATTGCGATAACAGTTGTATGAGCCCCTAATAAAATGTTTAAAAAACAAACAAAAAAACGTTAGAGTTTATTCAGGTAAACTCCCAATGTGACCCAGCCCAACCCAACATGGTGACCTCTTTCTCATCGTTGGATTCACTAGCCTACACAGCACCCTCAGTGAAGTAAGAGCAGGGCTGACCTGACAGCTTATCAGGCATTTGCTCCTAGAGGGCAGGGGTACTTTCCACATCTGTAACTCTTTAGGGTGCATGCCTCAAAGTTGTGTGTGTGCGTGTGTGTGTGTACATAACCAGGGCACAAATATTTGTTAAGCATATGGATTTCATGAAGCAGAAGAAAGGATTTAAATGGAGGAAACTCTGATGTCGGCTTATTCTGCCTACTATTTTTGACTTAACAGATAATGCTAGCATTATGGATAGGAAGTAAAGTGGGCAAGTGATTTGAAGAGCTCTGGAAACAAATTCTCCCAGTCTCCCTTACCACTCTAATTTCAACTTTTGAAGTCTAAAAAGAATGCCCATCAACACTAATGTTCTCGAAATACTTTAAAAATGTAGATATCATTTTTTAGAACTTAAATTTCAGTATAAGTGTTCTATTCTTTTTAGTTTGAGAGTGAGCTAAGGATAGGCTTCTTTTTCTCAAAGGTAAAACTGTTATTCTTGAGTAGATAGTCTATGTCAATACTGAAAGAGATTAGAGTTTTGATTTTTTTCCCTGTGCTGATTTTTCCATTATGCTTGGTAATGGAAGACAAAGGCAAAGGGCATTTAAAGCATTTTAAAGAGAGTGTTCGTTGATAGAGGGACTCGAGCACTCCGTAGAAGAGAAAACGATCATAGGAAGAGTTGCCTAAACTGGAGAGAAAAGATTCTAATGATAGATATGACAACATGTTGGCTCTCTTGAAGGTTAATCATGTACGAGGGAAACTGAATTTTTAAAAAGCTTTATGGGGACATAATCCACATATCATACAATTCAATAATTCACCCATATCAAGAAGAGTTGTACAATCATTACCATAATCAATTTTAGAACATTTTCTTATTAGCTCCCCATTTCCTCCAACCTTTCCTCCCATACCCCCAAGAAATCATCAATCCTAGACTTCATATACCAAAAAACACACCAAAACAAAACAAAGAAACAACAAAGCTAACAACAATAACTAAATAAAATAGAGAAAAACTTCAATAAAAAGAAAGTAGAAAATATTAAAAACTAGAATAACTTTAAAATGGGTCAAGAGGGAGATCAAATGATAAGGTGTTAAATTTTAACCTAGCTCCATTGGCCATAATGTATGGTCTAATGCGCTCTGCCTGAAAGTAAGGCTATCCAGATGTTGGGTTTACTGAAGGCTTAATCCACACGAATTTCCCCTTCACTGAAAAAAAAAGCTGACAGAATTTTTGAATGGGTCAAAGGGGGGATCCAGAAAGATCCAGTACATTTTAACCTAACTATATTGACTATAACAGCCTCTATGATAGTCTCTGACTGATGACGCTGTTCACATCCCTCGATTATGGTGAGAGGGGATTCGCTGGAGGTTTAGTCTCAGTCTGGATTTTGGGCTCCACTGTCATCTATAGCCTTATGCAAATTGGGTGCTCATGGTTTAAACTCTGATACCGTTCCCTCCTCAGGTTTGAATGATATTATTTGCAATTCTTGACTTCCACAGACTGGTGTGCTTCTTCCATGTGGACTCAGTTGACACCTCATTTAAATGGCTATTTGTTTGAAGAGAAGCCTTCCAGACCCCAGAAGCTATTCTTTCTGATGGTTGGGCACCATCCAGTTCCTTCACCACATTTTGTTATAACATCCATCTCTTCTTCAGGGATCCCTGCATGAGGACAAATGAGATTGGATTTTTTTTCTTCACTATTTCTGATTTCTTTCTTATCTGTAATCTTTGGAAACTAATCACATGAAACTACAAAATTAGAAAAAGTCTTGATGTCTGTATATAAAACATAGATTACCTATAATTTCAAATTCTCATTAGTGTACCACTCAATATTTAATTTTAAAAGTAATAAACAAAAAAGTGGCTCCAAAGATAGTCTTATACCATTTTTAGAAAAGGTGACGGCTCCTTTTCACTTTACATCCACCCCACACCTCGATCACTAAACACACCAACTAAGTGTCTGGGTCATGGACGTTTTCATGATGAGATTTCATATTTCACTCCCATAGCTCTGGTTATAAGAAAACTCATGCTTTACTTTGTGGAAGGAGTTTGGTCCTGCTTCCGATCTTCTTCATCCTCACCTCTGCTTCGGGAGGCATTTCCTTCCTCTTCATTCAAAGTCTCGGCAACCACACGGGTTTCTGGAGCAAGAGTTGGAGCCGTTTCTTTAGGCGTACTTACTCCAGGTTTGATGCACACGGCTGATGCTTCCTTTGTTGTCTGATTACTGTGACAAATCCAGACTTCGAGATCTTGGCAGGTTTTGCTGGGAAGTCTTCAGCTTCCTCAGCCGATCATTTCTCAGAGCTCTGACTGGGACTTGCCTCTCCAGCAGTCTTGGTTTTCACAGGTTTTTCTGCTGCTGCTTCAGGTCCCTGGCGGCTCCGGCTCCAGCTTGTTGCAGATTCTGCATCTTCTCCTCTCCGGCCTTCCTGTCCATTATTCTCCCCACCGTGGTCTCCAGATTGGATATAAAATTTTGATTTCAGGTGATAGAGTTGAGACCCACAGGTGGCAAGAAAAAAATAAACACACATTTTGGGCCCACAGAAGTATAATACAGGGAAAAGATGCTAATAGAATGATCTAAAGATAGAATGGGCTCTCTTGAAAAGTAGCAAACCCCTCTTCTTAACATTTGGTCAGGTTTTGATGGCCCCTTGTTACGGATTGCAGAGATTGGATGTGCACAACGATGGAGAGACTTTATGGTCCACACAAAACAAAACAAAAACAAACCCAGAAAATCTCCCCTACCCCCAATACAAAACAAACCCCAGACTGCTCAGCTTTCTCCTGTGGGATTGAACCACCAATCTTTTGGTTAGCAGCCCGAA